GTACTTTGTGTGAGAAATGTCTGTTCATTTCAGATGCCCATTTTTGGATTGGGTCTTTAAATTTGAGAGGTCTGATTTTTTAAAGTTCTTTATAGATTCGAGATAATAGACCTTTGTCTGAGGGACCACTGGTGAAAATTTTCTCCCACATTGTGGGTTGTCTCTTCACACTGCTGGTGGTTTCTCTTGTTGTGCAGAAGTTTTTAGCAAAAAGAGATCTCACTTGTTGATTTTTTGTGATAGTTCACAGGTACCAGAGGTTTTGTTCATAAAGTCTTTTCCTACCCCAGTGTCTTCAAGAGTTCTACCTAACCTCTGTTCCAGCCAGTTCAGCGTTTCTGTTTTTATATTTAGATCTTTAATTCACTTCAATTTTAGTTTAGTGCATGGTGAGAGATATAGGTCTAGCTTTAATCTTTGACAAGTTGAATCCCAATTTCTCTAGCACCATTTATTAAAAGGACTATCTTTCCACCAGCGAGGGTGTTTGGCTCCTTTGTCAAAGATGAGGTGGCTGAGTGTGTCTGGAGTTGTTTCTGCATCTTCTAATTTGATCCACTGGTCTTCAGGTCTGTTTCTTTGCCAGTATCATGCTGTTTTTATCACAGTAGCTTTGTAGTATAGTTTCAAGTTGAGGGTTGTAGTACCCCCTGCCATGTATCTGTTACCTAGAGTTGCTTTTGCTATTCTGGGTCTCTTCTTGTTCCAAATGAATTTTTGGATTGTTTTCTCAATGCCTATGAAGTATGCTGCTGGGATTTCAAATGTGATTACATTGAATCTATATAGCAGTTTTGGAAGTATAGTCATTTTCTCTATGTTGATCCTTCCTAGCCAGAAGCAAGTGATGTCTTTCCATTTTCTGATATCCCCTTCAATATCTTTTTTAAAGTGCTATAATTTTCAGAGAAGAGGTCTTTGATTTCTTTCACTAGGTTGATTCCTAGGTATTTCAGTTTTTTGGATGCTATTGTGAAAGGAATTGTTTGCCCTATTTCTCTCAGTGAGTCTGTTGTTCGTGTAGAGGAAAGCTATTGATTTTTTTGTGTTGACCTTGTATCCGGCTACTTTATTGAATTTGGTTATTAAGTCTAGAAGACTTTTGCTGGAGTTCTTGGGGTCTTCTATGTAGAGTACCATGTCATCTGCAAATAACAACAATTTGACTTCTTCATTTCCTATCTTTATTCCTTTTATTTCTTCCTCTTGTCTAGTTTCTATGGCTAATGTTTCCAAAACTACATTGAACAGGAGTGTTGACAGTGGACACCCTTGTCTCATTCGTGATTTTAGTGTGAAGGATTTCAGTTTTTGACCATTGAGTATGATATTGGCTGTTGGTTTTTCATAGATGGCTTTTATCAGATTGAGGTACAGACCATCTATTCCGATTTTTGTAGGGTTTTTACCATAAATTCATGTTGGATTTTGTCAAATGCTTTTTCTGCATTTATTGAGATGATCATATGGTTTTTATCCCTGGTATATAGTGTATTATATTGATTGATTTGTGTATGTTGAAACATCTCTGCATCCCTGGGATGAATCCCACTTGGTCAGGGTGTATGATCTTCCTGATGATCTTCTGCATTCTGTTTGCCATTATCTTATTAAGGATTTTTGCATCTATGTTCAATAGTGAGATTGGTCTAT